CCCCCCCGTAGGGCGGGAGCTGCCTCGACGTGCGGGTGGTGGGGCACGGGGTGTCTTGGGATGAAACCCCCCACCTTCATCCCGGGCCTCCCGCGGGAAGCGGTTCTCGCCGGTGGCATCCCACCAGCCAGGTGATAGGTAGGCCCCAAATCCTCTATTTTAAATTACGGGGCCGGGTTGCTGTGCTTTCACGGCTCGCACGGCAGAATCTTGCAGTAAACTTTTAAACCAGCAGTCTGAGCGTCCCTGCATCTGACGTCATGTTTTGGTGGTGGTTTGGTGTTTGGTTTTTTTTACCTCTCAAACCCACACGTGCTGGTGTGTTGCTTTTATTCTTGTATTTCTGGGTGTTCCTAAGGAGAAGTAAACGAGTATTTTAGTGAAAAGTGCCTTGGTATTTAAAAAACAAATCAGAGGAGGTCACTTTATTTCAGAGAGAGAAAGTCCCATCTCTGTGTTTTTTAAATCAGAAAAAAAGCTGAAAGCATACTTTTTATTTTCAGCTTGAGCTGAAGAAGTTGAAACTTTTTTCCCGAAGTTCAGAGAAGTCAGAACTTGCCATTTACATAGTAACAATGTTCTGTTATTTGATTTTGTATTGCTTATAGTTGGTCTAATAATGTACCATTTCGTCAAAATTTGGTTGTTCGGGCTATCAGGAGGCTTGTTAATTTTGAGCTTCCGTGCTGTGTTAGTTTGGGATAACACTGGTGACATTTTGTTGATGCAGTTTATTTAGAAGAAGATAGAGATACTTTAACAAAACAGTGTAAGGCTTTAGAGTGTACTGATACCAAAACAGTTTGTTTAAATTTGAAGTGCTACATGCTTAGCATAGTCTTAAGCAAATAGAAGTGTTATTAAGTTACTGACCCAATAACTTTAAGTTATACATAACTGAATTCAGAGCTCGCTTGGAGATTTTTAAATATCAACCCTGAGGGCTAAAAACCTGTGAACACTTGAAAGTCTGTTAAGTCATACAACAAAGAGATGAGTTGCCTTGCATCAGTTACAGGTAACTGCTGGCAGGTGTGCTCACATCTGCACTGCGAGATGAGTGCAGTGAGCTGCCAGCGTTGGCAGGTGGACGCTTTTCCTGACACAGAGACTTCAGATGGCTGAAATGCACTGAGGTGTTGCTCCGCAGTGACTTGTTTTGTGTGACAGAGGTCTCTGGAGTCAGTGATGTCAAACTGTTTCTTTATCATTTTTTGATAGCTGGGGCGAAGCTCCCACCTTCCACCTTTTTTCAGGCCAACAATGTGCAGTTACCTTATTTTAAATTAAAAAAAAAAAAAAAGTCCAACCCAGGCTTGTGAGGTTCTTGGTGTGTTGTGGAATCATTCAGTATGAATGAAAGCTCTTGATGACAGCGTGCTCTGCTGAACTGGCTCAGTAGTCCTTTATGCTTTTGACTTTAGCCCAAACTAGGGCTGCAGCACGATCTGTGTAGACGGTGATCTAGGAACTCCTCTTGGGCCCTGTTCTTGGATGTTTTTGTGAACCTGGGCTCATCTAAAGGAGGCTGCTAGTTTTGTACAGCATATTTCCATTGTTTTTGCTGAACCTTTTACTCTTTTTGTATACGCCTTTCGGGGTACAGTGAGCAGAACAGCCTTTTTTCCAGGTGAGGAGTTAATTTATATAACGCCCTTACAACACTGGTATTTCCTCTCCATTCTGTTGTACACCCTGACAGTACCGGGGTCAGACATCAGGGAGCTGGATGCAGAAATACTAGCTGAAGTGCTTTGGGTCACAAAGAAGGTCAAACTAGATCAGAACTGGTTCCTCCTGACCTTAGCTTTTTATGACTCCACTTACTTCTGTTCCCAGAACATACTTGTAGTGATGCCTGGTTCAGTCCTGTGCTGTTAGATTAGTATCCAGCCGGACAGTTGGGTAGGTTATACTGTTCCTTTCTATGCACGTGACTTTATATTTGTGACCACTGAACTCAGCCTGCTTTCTTGTTTCCTCCTCCACATTTGTTTGCTCAAAAATAACTTGGTGGTATTCTTAAGCTTTGCCACATTATTATTAAACAGTTATTTAAGCTCAGGATGGAGAACACTTGATTGCTTTGAGGTAAAAAAAAATAATGGTTATCTGTCTATATATCCTGTGTTTTAATGAGCTTCTAATCAATCACACAACTGTATAGCTTGCTCTGTGAGGATAGTTTCCCTTTCACCGTTAGTTTACATTGACAGAAGTTATGTAGGACTTGTCCAAAGATATCTGGCTATTTGTTTGATATTCTTATTGACACACTGAAGTAACTTAGGATGCAGATTTTTCTTTGACAGATAGACTGCATTTTCTATTTTATTTCTTTTATTATTATGTTTTAAGTGTATTTTTCAGTATTGTTGTAACCAGTTTATCTTGTTATCTCTGTCAAGCTTCTTACCAGCTGAGTTCCAGAATCACCTCTAGAAACTCCTCCCATAAAAAGGGACCCCGCAGTGTTTTCCCTTCTCCCACATAGTCCTTGACTCAAACCTCAGCTGCACAGGCTTTTTGTGCCCAAGTCCTGTCAGATCGCCTCAACGTGTTCCATCCTGTTGTGGTCACTTGGGAAAGCACAACAAGAGCTAAGGAAAGAGAAGGTAGAGAGGGAGATGTGTTCTGTCAGCTGCTGGTGGCCTAGCTGCAACGTGATTAGGTCCTGATATAGTTACATGGTTCACAGGTACCTGACAGTCCAGAATTTTACTTCTGTAAGTCAAAACCTTTGACTTAAGTTGCGCTGTAAGTAAGGTGAATGCATTTGCAAGCTCTGGAGCAAGAGATTAATGTCCTGTCTGTTAGACTCTCTGTTGAGTGTTTGTATGTGAACTTCCCTGTCAGCCTTGGTGAATTAATCCTGCACCTCTCACCTGTGCTAAACTCACTTTGCAGAGATTGTGTCCTTGGGGACCCTGGAGTACGAGGTGCTGATTCCTGAGGAACCCATGTGATAAAGAAGGCATTTCTTTCATTTGCCTTATTTCCAGTGTTGCCAAACTAGAAACTTTAAGCCACACTGTAAACTGATGCTTACGGAGTTTAGCAGTGCAGAGCAGGTTAGGTAGTCATTCAAAATTAGAGGCACAAAGCTATGGGTTAGTGTATCAGAACATGGATTCAGCAGGTTAAGTAGGTGCCAACCTTGGAGAATAGTGTCAGATTGAAGGTTGATGAAAATCAGCTGTGTGGAAGTTTGGCCATGTAAATGTGAAAGCCCCACTGAGACCCTTCTGCGAATTTGGCCCTTTATGTTCTCTCCCTGGCAGATGAGCAGCAAATTGTACATAAGGTCTGAAACAGATTCATTCTTGGCCATCTGTTTTCTTGCTTTAGCTTGTTCTTGACATGGCTTTTTGTGCTCTGCCATTGCTGCCTTTGTTCCCTTGGATCAGATGCTCTTGGACGAGTTGATCAGCCACAGAAGCTTTCTGTGATAGGTCTAAAAAAAATAACTGCTCCTCAAGATTCCTCTCGTAGATTTGCAGAGAGCAGGTGCTAATTCTTGTGCTTGAATATCTTTGAATCAAATTTAGGGGCATTTGCAAAGTTGGCATTCTCAGTAGAGTTGTAAAATAGGTCCTTACGAAGCTCTTTTTGCACCTGTCCGAGAAGCTGATTCCTGTATTGGTGGTGACCATAAGCCTGCTTCTCTGGGCAGACCTCCGCGGAGGTGGCCGCTGTGCAGTTTGTTGCTGAACCACCACGACCAGCATGTTGTGTGCTTTTGTAGCTGATGGGGGGTGGGGGGAGGAATAAAGCTAGGTGATTTTCTCTGGAAAGGAGACAAAAATGTTTCCACTTAATTTGATTGGCCTGCCGTTGCAGGAGCTGCTAATGATGTCTGCATGGGACTCGGGGGACCACTCAAACTGGTGGAGGGAATCATAAGAGATATTGCTAGTAACTTAATCATCTCCTTTGATGCTGCGGTAGAGGTTTGTATAGTGGCCCCAGCGAGATGCTGTGTAAGAGCACTTCTGAGGTAATTAGTGCCTTGTCCTGAAGGTGAATTTTTGCTTGGGGTGGGGAGTACCAGTGAAAACTAAAACCCATTAGCTGTTCTCTCAGGAAGTTTTGCTGGGCTAGAGAATAACATGATCTTTAGGCATTAATAAGGTTTAGCCTCGATGGGGAGAGCCCGTTGTCAGAAAAAAATCCTTGGTCTCTTCCGCCTCGTAAGGCTGCAGTGTCTGTGGGCAGGGGTGGGCTGGCTCCTTCGGTTAACGGTTGGACTTGGTGATCTTACAGGTCTCTTCCAACCAAGATGATTCTATGATTCTTCTCTCTGCGCCCGTGGGAAGGCAGGGGTCAGTGTACCCTCAGAAGTAAAGGCTTTGTCAAGTGCAGTTTCACACCTCCTCCAGTGCAAGCAGCTTCTTGCCTTGCATACTCCCAAAAAACCCGGTATTAGGAAGGGGAGGAGCATCCCCTCAGCTCCTAAATTAAGTCAGAGACCATAACTGAGCCCCAGCCCTTGCAGAGGGTCCCAATTCTTGCTCACTTCCATGTGCTGCTTTCTCATTCCTACGCCGTGGTGACTTTAATTCCCTGGGTGCCCAAGAGTTTGGTGTAACCCGAGGGAGAACATGTGCCTGTAGCAGGAGCAGTGTGTAGGGTAATGTACATCTATTAAAAGTGAGGCCTTGGAGGTGCTGAAAGCCCTCGGATGGCCTAATAATAATTATTAATGCTAATAAAAATTAGTGAACTCCTCACCTCCTGGCAGAAGGCTGGAATAATAACTACGGGGTCTTTGTTCAGTCAGAGATAAGAATGGGTCAGCCTTTTGCAAAAACCTCTGTCCCTGAGCTCTGTCCTCTTCTTGCATCCAGTCCTCCTCTGGCTGCGTTTTTATCTTCCTGGATTGTGAGAGGGAATGGCTTTCCCCCCCCCCCCCCCCATCTCCACGCTCCTGTGACAGGAGCGAAGGGGAGAGGGATTAGTGAGCTAATTAGAAATGATCGCATCTATCAACACTAATTAACAATCCTGTGGTCTCACTTGCGTGTTCTTTTGAGCTGTTCCCCTTCGGGACAGCGCCACAATCACCCCCTGCCTTTGGGGCCGCTCCGTCCCTTCTGCGCTGATTGGAAGTGATAGCCGGGCTGCGTGTCGAGTCGGGCAGGGACAACGCTGCTCGGGATGTGCTTTCTAGGCTGCAGCCTTCCCTTTTGGTTTCTGCTGTCACCTGGGGCACACTGGGCCTCCGTGGGCACAACGCTGCCGCTGCTAATGACCACAGAATGAAAATGGCAGGGGGATTTGTTTTCAACACCTCTTTCTTCCAGTGGCTTTTTCACTTGTGGCACTACAACTTAAAGGGCTGCTTCTCCGCAGAGCTAAATGAGCCAAGATAGGGGCTGTCTGCTGAGTCTCACGTGGAGTTGCAGCAGAGCGAGGTTCTCTTCCCAGCTCTGCGCTAACGTTTCAACAGGTGCTTGTTCTGGCAAAATGGTCCCAAAGAATTTCAGTGCGAGACCTAAAACAAGTTGTCTTTCTTTTATCACTGTTACAGTGATAAAAGGCTGGAGGATGGCAGTAAAAAAGTTAAAAATACCGATAAACTTGCCAGGCAGACTGACTTAGCTGAATTGATTGGCCCTGGGGAGTTCTACCAGAATAACTAAACTGCTCCTTCCCTTCCCTTCTTTCTCTGTTTAAAAACAGGATGAGGTGAGAGTGAAAGATGTGTCTGCGAGCAGGATAGAGAAGGCTTTGTTCCTGTGTTTTTCTCTGGTCAGATAGGTGTTTGCTGGAGAATGCTCAAGTCGTGTCTGATTCCAGCCTCCTCCCCGATTTTGTGCTGGCTCTGCAGAGCTAGCGAGGCAAGGAAAGAGCATCCTAAACTTATGCGACAGAGCCATACTGGAGGATATAGGTATTCACTAAAGCAGAACTTCAGAAGTCTCTTGTGCATTGAAGTACAAACCAGAAAGAGGATGGCTTTACTCTGGCTGCTTCTGGTAACAGGGCTGGATGATGTGGAGGGGGAGGAAAGACAGTGGTTTGGGGTTCAGAAAGAGGAGAGGACCCAGAAGACTTGTAGGGGGTCATTGTTTTAAATAAAAGTGCAACACAATTCATCTGGGCAATGAAATTAGCAATAGCACTTCATAATATTTCCTTCTGCGTTGATTGGAAGTCAAGTGGTTTACCTTCTGGAGTAGAAACTGACAGTATAGGTGAAATAAGACTTAAGCAGACAAGATAGAAGGAAGAACTATTAAAATATCACACTAGGAGTATTGAAGTGTGTGGAGAGGCAGGTGGGCTGCAGAGCTGTCAGTGTGGTGTACCCAACACAAGATAGGGTTGTGGAGCTTCAGCAAGTGAAGTTTAGATGACTGATGAAAGTGGCGTGCATTTATTTGACAGTCTCTGTTGTTCAAAGTGCCAGGTCTCAAAAGCACTCTCGTTGTGGTCTCAAGTTACTGTCTCTTATTCTAGGAGTGTCACATTTGCAAAGCCTTTTCACGATGCCAGGAGGGAAGATTTGTTTTGGAGGGAGTTTTCCTACAAATCTGTCTCGTTCAGTGAGGAAGAGCAGTGCTCAGGGAATAATTTGAAGCCTTATTAATCCTGGAGCATCACAGAGCATAGGGGATGGTGAATAGTCCAAATTCTGGATTGTGGGAAAGTATATCCTAACCCACAGAGTCCTGAGTCCAGGGAAGCCAACAAGAAAGTCCTGAAGGAGTCCTTTCAGGTCTGTGTTGGTGTGTTCAGATGAAACTTAAGTGCATCCACATCACCAAGTGATTCATAAACTGATGCACTTTAGAAAGCAGTTGACAGCAACTTTCCTGTACCCTGGTCCTTCTCTTCCTGGCATTCCAGCAGCTTTCTCCGACTCATTGGCTGGAGGGAGCTGTTGATCCCACAGTTTCCAGGCATGAAGGCTGTCAGAGCATGCCACAGCGCTCACAATGTCAGTAATGATTTCTGGCTAACGCAACTTTTTGGTGGTGTCATCTCTTATTATCACATGGGCTTTCCTTGGGCTTTTCCTTGTCTCTCATTCAGAATTTTGACCTTCCTTATTAATTAAACAGCAACTTTCCTGCAGCCAGTGATTGAGTTATTCAGTAATACCTGCCTAAAGCCATCATAATAAAGGAGAGAAGTTCTTTTTAATGCAAATGATTTGGTTCCAGATGTTCTGATCACATTAAACCATGGCTCAAATTAACCAGAGATTGGATTAAGCAACAGGCTATCTTGGCTGCTTTTTCTAATCATTGTGATTCCAAACATGTTTATTTCCCAGAGCATGTCCTCAGGAAGGCAGTGTAGCTCCAGTTTTCCTCTACGTGAAAATAGTGAAATAAAAATAATAGAGAGCGCCAGAAGCTATCTAACATAGGTGCTGTGTTTTTCACAGCAAAGATCTTTCCTCTCCATATAAGTTACCTGCTACTAAGATGCTGTTCTGACTTGTTCATGGTGTTCTGTGAAGGAATTATTTGGGGTGTACATGAGACTCTGGGGTCCTGGAAGTGACCGTTGTATACCTGGTCCAAGGCTTTTTGGGTGCTACATCATCCTTCTACTGTCCAAGCAAGTTCCTGTATAGAGGGAATAGATACGGTAGTGGTTGGGTCTCAAACTTAGAAGGCAAAACCCAGAACAAGATTCGGTGGTTTGAGATCGCTCAACTTTGAAAACGATTTCTGGCTTCCAAGAGAAAGTATTTAACCATTTGAATAACTTACCTGGGAATGAGCAGCAGGTGTTCCCTCTCCTAAGTATTAAATTGTGAGTAGCTGCCTTTCTGAAATCAGGCTGTACTCAGCCACAGGTTACACATTTAATCTGGAAAGTGCTAAGTAACAGTCTCTGTGCTGCCCATGGAGATCAGAATAGGGAGTTGCAATGGGATTTTCTGGTGTGAAATCTTACCATTTCTACCAAGAGTTTATTATTTGGAGCTGAGCAAATAGAGAGAGGAGTGGAGCTACAAACTTGACATTTCTTCCTTTTTTTTTTTTTTTGTTTTTTTTGTTTTCTTTCCCTGGTTTCTCCATGCAGCTCGGATTGGAAAAATGAAACGGAGGAAGCAAGACGAAGGGCAGGTATGTCCCCTCTGCAGCCGACCTCTGTCAGGATCCGAGGAGGAGATGAGTAGGCATGTGGAACAATGCCTTGCAAAGGTAGAGGCGCAGCAGGATCACCAGCTGCCATTCCCTTCTCCCTACTCCCAGCTTTGTCTGCAGTTGACCTAACACGGGGCAAAAACTAACATTGCTGAGCTTGCAGGCAATGCTAACTATGTCTCCCTAAGATCTGTAGTCACTTCTCTTTGTCTTGGAGAATGGATTCTTCCGGATTTTTCTCCTGTGTTGCATTAGTAACTTTTTTACTTCATGCGCCCTTTCGCAGTTATTGAAGTCTTAAGTTGTAGACTGTAAAGGTAGAGCTATTGAAGTTTATGAAGCCTTTTATAGGACTTCATGCTTCCTATGTTGCACAGCAAGAAGAGTTCTTTCTAATCTCTGCCTTTGACAACATTAGAATTATTTTTTGTTGGGTTCTTTTGTAACAGACTAGAATTTGTAAATGTTATATGACCATCTTACTGCAGGAAGTGCATTTGAACCGAATTGTTCTCTTGCTGTTCATCCCAAAGACAGCAAGGAAGAAGGAGGAACAAGCCCTAGGGGAGGGAGAGAGTTGTGTCCTCGGGCTTTCTGTTGCTTGTTTCTCAGGAAAAGCCCACAATAGAGATGATGATAAATTCATTTTTGTTGCCTCAAGAGGCGCATGGTGTCAAGAGAGGTGTCT